AGGGAAAGAATAAAAGCAATGCAAGGTATTAGCCAGATAATTAAGGAAAAAAAAGAAGACAACAGAGTTTGTGTAGATAAGAGCAGAAAAAAACAGTGTGGATATCTAAGCTGCAAGACAAAAGTTAGGAGCATGAATAGGTCAGCAGAGGGTGTAAGCACATAACCCACCTAAAGCATGTGACAAGTACAGGTGACTGGCTAACCCCAGCTATGTTATATAGTGGCAGGCTGCCTGCACAGCATTTTACAAGGGTTGATCTGTCTCTGTCTTCTGAAATTCAGATGTGGTCTCAATATAGGAATTCTACACTGAAAACTAGAGGGATAAGTGATAGATCCATACTTCGCATTTTCAGGGTAACAGTCCCTCTCCCTATTTGAGTACCCTTAAAAAGAAAATAGTATCCAATCTTCTTAATTATTTCCCTTTGTGATTTGGCTAATTCACTCCTTCTCTGTAGAGGTTCAACTTTTATTGTCTTTAAAGAAGTACAACTTCCATCTTATCTTCCAGGCAACTGAAGTATTTAAATATATAATGCATGCCTGTTCATTTCAGTGGAAGCAGACATTCCCTCATCCCTGTGTCACTTTGCAAAATCATACTTTGTGGTTGTATGTATGCTTATATTAACTGAAAAAAAAAGCTTATAAAATTAATACAATACCATGCCTATTTATTGCAACCTAGCGATATACACAGTGTTGTCATTCTGTAACACTCAAGGCCATGCTCTCAAATGCCTAACAACCATTTATGAAAAAGAACCACAGAATATGAAGGTTTGGACCAAGAATGAGGAACAAACAAATATTAGCTGAAATTTCAGATCTGAGCCTAAGCAGGCATAAACAAACCACATGCTGAGCCAAAGTGTGGATGGCACAGCTTCTGAGATACATGGCAGGTACAAGGAGGAGAGAATTGCTGGAGACATTTTTAGCAGTTTAGCTATTTGTTACAGGTCTGAAGCTGAAATTCCTTGCTAAAAATAGTTTACAGAAGAACTTTGTTGCAAGTCAATAAGAGCCTTATATACTCTGCAGAGAATTGTGAGAGGAAGTGCAATTTGGGATGTGACTGAGTAGCTTAGTGATGGGATTATT